GTTAAAAAAGAAGGCTCGGTCTGACCCTCTTCCCTCTCGTGCTCTCTATCTCTCATTCTCTCTCTCTCAAATAAATAAATAAAATCTTAAAAAAAAAAAAAAAGAAGGCTCGGTCCACGTACGCATTTGCGGCGGAAGTCTATCTTTGAGAATGCAAAGTGAAACATCTGGGGTGATCCATATCCGTCTGTGTGTGGTCTCTATCCTCTCAGCAAAAGACAAAACTAGGTTGTCTGTTGAGAAGGAGGGCAGCAGTTCCATTTTCCACTTGAGGAAAATAAGTTCTGGCTTGAGTTGTGTTGTGGGGAATAGGAAACACAGAAGACTCTACATTGCCAAACCCTACTGAAGGCTCAAAATGGAAACTGAACCAACTGTCAGGGTCATCTCATTTTCTCTGGCAACACTCGGGGTGGGGAGGAGGGAAAGGGAGCCCTATTTCGAACATCTTCTATGACCCAGGTTGCTCAGGTGCTTTCACACTAAGCCAACTACTCGAAAGCTCCCAACCATAATGTTATGTGGACGGTTAATACCCCGTTTTGCAGATCAGGGGGCTGGCTAGCCTGGGTCACACAGGAAGAGTGTGAGAGAATTCCACATTCCCTCATTAGTGTGCTTTCTGGCTCTCTCCCCACATCCCGCTGGCTGGGGCGCGCTCCTCTGGGACGGTGGAGTCGCCAGGCCGAAGGAGCCCGGGTCTCGGGGTGACCTCATGGAACAACGCTCCTCTACCCCAAACCGAGCACCGGCACTGACTTGTACACAAGAGAAAAGCAAACTCTTTTTGAGTTTAAGCCCCTTTGCAAGGTAAAAGCTTGTTTCTAGGGGCGCCTGGGGGGCTCAGTCGTCGAGCGTCTGCCTTCAGCTCTGGTCATGATCCCAGGGTCCTGGGATCGAGCCCCGCATCGGGCTCCCTGCTCCGCAGCGAGTTTGCTTCTCCCTCTCCTTCTATGCTCTCTCTCTCTCAAGTAAATAAATAAAATCTTAAAACACACACACACACACACACACACACACAGTTTCTAGACAGAGGAATACAGCAATCCACTGAAAACATTAGGAAGATTTAATCTGTAAACTTAAATATCATTAGGCTTGACCAGCTTTGCGTATAGAGGGAAAAATATCTGTCCTCAGTGCTACTCTTTTTTTGTCTTTGGGGTGTCCCTCTCTAAATATGTTAAATGTCCAAATAATTTGTAATTATAATAGTGCATATTAATTAATATTTCAGTACAATGTATACTGTCGAGGATGGTACTATAAGAAATCATTGGATAGGAACTGTCAGTTGTGAAAGGCAGGGGACGGGAGAAGTCATTCCATTTTCAGGCAGCCCCCGACTGAGGCAAGAGAGGGTTCTGGGCCGAGTCAGTACCTCCTTCTGTCATCGCAGCGGGGGTCAGAGCTGTTGCGATGCTGGCAAACTGCATGCTGCTGCTGCATCCTCCCAGTGCGACCCAGGCAACGAGCCGGACACTGGAACAGAAGCACAAAGCGGCATAAACCACCTGCGAGCTCGCGGGTGCTGCGGTACCAAGGTCATGCACTGTGGGGGGGGTGCCGGTGGTCCCCAGGGGAAGTCGGGGAGGAGGGGAGTGCAGCTCTGACGACAGACAGCCCTCCCTCAGGGCCAGGAAGATACCTGAGCATCTTCCTCCTCCTCCTCCTCCTCCCCCCGGCCCCCCCCGAGACTTAGACCATCTCTGGGGACAAGGGAAAAGAACGGCGCCAGTCTGTAACTGACAGGGCTTCGGTCCAGAAACGACATTGCTTAAGACCATAAGCAACTGCCAACTTTGGGTTTTCCTGCTCTGAGCAAAAGTGGAGGCCTGGGAGTTAAGGTGAGTTCAATTATAAGAAAAAAAATTTTTTTCTGACATGGGGTTCTTATATTTTCATGTAGTCATAATACATACTAATTTTTCCTTATCCTCTGTTTAATGCTTGAAAAGGCCTTTCCCATCACACTGGTTCTATTTTCATTCACCTTCCCGGTCACGTCCTTCGTAGCACAAAAGCTTTTAATTTTTACATTGCCCAATGTATCTGTTGTTGTAGCTTGTGCTTTTGGTGTCATATCTAAAAAACCATTTCCTAACCCGAGGCATGACGATTTATGTCTACATTTCTTCCAAGAGCTTTATAGTTTTAGCTCTTAAATTTAGGTCTTTGATCCACTTTGAGTTAATTTTTTGCATATGGCCTAAGCTAGGGTCCAACTCCATTTTTCTGTGTGTGTGGATATCCAGTTGTCCAGCACCATTTGTCAAAGAGATTATTCTTTCTCCAGTGAGTGGTCTTCTCACCCTTGTATGAAACCAACTGACACAGATCTAGAAATTTCTCTCTCGACCTTAAATTCTATTCCAGCGACCTATATGTCTACCCCCTGTCAGCACCACGCTGTCTTAGTTACTAACAGCTCTGTAGTAAGTTTGGAAACCAACAAGTTGGAGCCCTCCAACCTTGTTCTTTTTTCAAGATTGATTTGGTTATTCTGGGTCCTTTATATTTCCATATGAACTTTAGGACCAGCTTGTCAGTTTCTGCAGAGAATCCAGCTGGGATTTTTACAGGGATTGTGCTGAATCTGTAGATCGATTAGGAAAGCGTGATCAGCTTAACGTTAAGTGTTCTGATCCATAAATATGGGATGTCTTTCCATTCATTTAGACCTTCTCTAATTTCCTTAAAAAACCTATTGTAGTTTAACACTGTTTTTTTAAACCATTCTTCTGTTATGGTTAAATACCATTGAACTTTAAACCCACTTAACACGGGTCTGTCCTCTCATTTCACTGCATGACTCAGGGCTACTCCTGCACTAACACCATATTATTTTACTTACCTCAGATAACACCAGCTAAAGAAGGTCTGTCCACCCCTCTAGAAGTTGTCTCTCCTAAAAATTTCCTGTGTTCATCTGTTCTCCCATATGAATGTCAGAATTACCTTAAGTTCCAAAAAAAAGAATTCTACCGCAGTCTTTGTTGGAATTCTGTTACGTGTTTCAGTTCATTTAGGGAAGCAGACATCTTTACAGCACGGAGAGTACCTTTATTTGTCCTACTTTTTCCTTTACGTGTTTCAACAATGTGTTCTATTCCTCTTTACGGGTTCTGTTTTGGTTAATTTTATGTGTCAGCTTGGCTAGGCCATGGTGTGCCCACATACTTGGCTAAGCAGTATTCCAAGTGCTTCTGGGAGGATGTTTCTGGAAGAGATTAACATTTAAATCCCTACCCGAGGGAAAGCAGATTGTTCCCTCTAATGTGGGTGGGCCTCACCCAATCAGTTGATGGGCTGAATAGGCCCCCCAAAAAGGAAGAGGGCAGTCCTCCCCAAGTAAAAGGGAATTCCTCCTGACTGACGGTCTTTGAACTGGGATATTGGCTTTTTCCTGCTTTTGGACTTGAACTGAAACCCTGGCTCTTCCTGGGTCTGTAGCCTGTTGGCTTCTGAGCTGGAATGACACACTCAGCCGTCCTGGATCTTCCAGCTTCCTGACTCACCCTGCAGCTCTTGGGACTTGTCAACCTCCATAACTGCATTAACTCATTAACTCATGCACACACACACACACACACACACACACACACACACACACACACACCCCACACCCTATTTGGTTCTGTTTCCCTGGAGGACCCTGGCTAAGGCAGATATATAGCTTTTGGTCCTGAGAAAGGGGTGCTACTATAACAAATATCTAAAACTGTGGCTCTGGAACTGGGTGATGGGTAGAGGTTGGAAGAGTTTTGAGGTACATGCCAGGAAAAGCCAGACTACCTTGAAGGGCACGTTGTTAGAAATGCGAACATTTAAGAGGACTCTGATGAGGTTTCAGGTGGAAGTAAGGAACACGCTTACTGGGAACCGTAGGAAAGGCGATCGTCACTCTCAAATGGCAAAAACTTGGGGCACTTGGGTGGCTCAGTCGGTTGAGCTTCCAGCTCCTGGTTTCAGCTCAGATCATGATCTCGGGGTCATGAGATCGAGCCCCAAGTTGGGCTCTGTGCTCACTGGGGAGTCTGCTTGAGCTTCCCTCTCCCTCTGCTCCCCCTGCCCCACTCATGCTCTTCCTCTCTCTAATAAATAAATAAATCTTAAAAAAAATAAAATGGCAAAAACTTGGCCGAACTGTGTTCTAGTGTTTTTTTGGGCGATAGAACTTGCAAGTGATGAAACTGCATATTTCACTGGGGACATTTCTAAGCCGAGTGTTCAGGGTACCACCCGGCTTCCCCTTAGGGCTTCCAGCAGAATGTGAGTGGACAGATACACTGCAGGAATCATTAAACAAAAAGGAATCATAACTGGAGGATTCGGAAAATTCTCAGTCCATCCATATTTCAAAGAATGAGAAAGTATGTTCTGGAAGGAACACGAACGGCGTGGCTGGACAATCACTCCATAAGGAGATTCCCCATGGAGTTAATCAGCCATCCCAGCGGAAGCCAGGAACAGAGACAGGGCTGTGCCAGGAGAGACACTGAAGGGACCCAGTTAAGGAAGGCTTTAGAAACTGTGGATTCTACAGGACGGGATAAAGCCATTCAGCTGCAAACGTGCTTTACCCTTCAGGAAGGGGGAAGAACGACCCCAGATTCAGAGCTCACCAGGGATGCCACTCCCAGGACAGGCCCCGGCGGAGAGGGAGGCTGTTTCCTCGATTTCCGTGGGCCCCGCCGTCCCTGCCTAGTGCTTCAGGGGCAGGACCACTCCAAAGAGCCGCGTGGGGAAGGCTGCTGTCTAGGGCCATGGGGGCAAGCCGCTGGCCTGGTGGGTCTGGAGGGCAGAGTGTCAAGCCGAAGACGATTATTCTCCAAGTGTTAGGATCTAATGGAATTAGTCCTGCTAGATTTTGGACTTGACTGGGACCCACCGCCTGTTTCCTCTTCTGATTTCTCTGGTTTGGAAAGGGAACGTCTGTCCTCTGCTTGTCACATCACTGTATTTTGGAAGTATGCAACTTGTCTGCCTTCACAGGTTCGCAGGGAGAGAGGAGTTCTGCATCAGGACGGCTCACTTCTTACCCATTCCTAATTTAGATGACATGTGGTGAGACTTTGGATTTGAATTGAGGACAGAGTGGGTCAAGACTTCTAAGGGTATTGGGATGGGATGAATGTACTTTGTATACAGGAAGGACATGAATTTAGGGGAGGGGGGCAGACGGCGGAATGTTATGGACCAAACTGTGTCCCCTCAAAATGTGTATGTGGTAGCCCTAACCCCCAGTGTGACTGTATTTGGGGACAGGTTCTATAAGGAGGTATTAACAGTGAAATGAAGTCCTAAGGGTGGGGCCTTAAGCTGCTAGGAATAGTGTCCTTACAAGAAGAGGAAGAGACACCAGAAGTCTCTCTCTCTCTCTCTCTCTCTCTCTCTCTCAATCTCTCTCTCTGCACAGAGAAGAGCCCATGTGAGGACCCAGTGAGAAGGCAGCTGTCTTTAAGAGGGAAAGTGAGGTCTTACAAAACCAACCCTGACAGAACCTTGACCTCGGACTTCCAGCCTCCAGAATTGTGAGAAAATAAACTTTTGCTCTCCGCGGCACCCAGTCTGTGGTATTTTGTTATGGGGCAGCCCTAGTTGACTAATGAGGTTCCTAGACATTTCTTTAAAACTGTTTTTTCCCAAATATTTTTTATTTATAAGGTTGTTCAAGGTGGCCTTTGGGATACGGGCTATGAGACTTCTGTGCCCATAATTACTAATGCTCTTCTGCCCCTTTTCTCGAAGTCTGGTCTTACTCCTTCTGCCCCAGACCAGCCAATCTTGGAACTTCCGTCACTGAGCTACTCTATTCAAAGAATCCAACTTTGGTTCACCTTTATATTGGAAGACAGAGACACCGTGATTTCCAAATCTAATTCCTTGAGGTCAGACACATCCATTCACTTCAGAGATCAATCAGATGTTTCCCCCCAAAATTAAAAAAAAAAAACAAAACATGTGTGATTACATTACTGTCAAAGCACTAGATTTGTCCACTGTACCTGGCCCCCTGGCTCAACGACCCACTGGCCACAAGGATGACCGGAACATGGCCTTCTTCCCGGAGGCCTCTCTCTGGGAGCACACGCTCTTGGAGACATCACCTGCACGGTGCCGTTGGCTTTGGCGCGTTTGCAGGTCACTTGCCGACTGTGGAACCCTTCACCGCAAGACACAGAGCACTCAGACCACGCGCTCGTGAACCACCTGGGAATAAAAACTACAGCAGCTTAGTGAGGACTGGAATGTCAGCCCCTGCAGGGAGTGTCTTGAACATCGATCCTAACATTGTGTCCCTCTGGGGGCCGTCACATGTCTCGAGGGGAATGAACCGCAGCACCAAAACTCCAGGCTCTCTTCTCAGATTTCCTTTTTGTTCAGGGGAGTGACAGAATTACCTGGGAGAGACAAGGAACACAGGGGTGGGGTCGGGCCATTTGCAAGGATATGAGAGCTGGCACTTGCAGGGCCCCAGAGAGCACAGCTAGGGGAAAATTAGGTGGAAATTTCAAAAAGGTGGATTGCAGCTTACTGAAGCCAAAGGGAAGAAAACATTTTTAAAGCACCTATGTGGGCGCCTGGGTGGCTCAGTTGGTTAAGCGACTGCCTTCGGCTCAGGTCATGATCCTGGAGTCCCGGAATCGAGTCCCACATCGGGCTCCCTGCTCAGCGGGGAGTCTGCTTCTCCCTCGGACCCTCCCCCTTCTTGGGCTCTCTCTATCTCACTCTCTCTCTCTCTCTCAAATAAATAAATCTTTAAAAAAAAAAATAAAGCACCTATGTGCTATTTGCTCTGGGAGATATTTACATGTTATTCCCATTCTTTGTAGGGAAGAAACCAATGTCCAAAGGGGTAAATACGTCGGTTACGGTCACATAACCACAAGCCAACAGAGCTGGGTGGACACTGGGTTTATCTGACCCTAAGTTCCCACTTTCAAGACAGAGAACACTTGGAGCTGGACACCTTTGGGATACCGAGTGCTCTATCACGGAGGATTTTCAAGCTCTGCTGGGATCCTACCGAGCAGGGGCTCCTAACCTGAGCTCTAGGGTGCTCCAAGAGACCGCAGACCTGGACGGGCAAAGAATTACCTCTTCGTTGTCACTGAGCTACAAGTGAAATCTAGTGTTGCTTTAGTTATAAAAATGTCAGCCACAAAATACAGTAGTATTAGCACTGTCTGTGATTTTGTTACCAATGGAAAGCATAGATATTTTTACATGACCTTACAATTGTGGCAGGCATCTCAAAAAGTTATTTATATTTATCACCACTTCAAAATTAATGTACTGCTCGATATTAGTGCATTAGCAGAGAGGCAGATCTATTACCGTATCATCATTTTTCAAATGATGATGCTGTATTTCAGTGTTACTGGTTTCATGATCGAATGTATTCTATTTTACAGATTTAAAACCCTCATCCTGAGAAGGGATCCCCAGGCTTCTCCAGACAACCAGAGGCATCCACAGCAGACAGAGATGAACGACCCTCAGTGCAAGAGCCCTAGGGTTACAAGACCTCAAGGTGTCTCTCATAGGTGTGACAGTAGATGGCCGCTTATCCTAGGCACGTGCACAGCTGGAGAATATGTAATAAACATGGCGGCTGATACCTTTGTTTCCATTTTGTAAGAATCAAGAATTGGCATAACCAACTCCCCCGAGTTACTGTAGCATCATTTTGCTGCTTCCTGAGGGACAGATGACTCAGCGCAAGACCTTCCTCCGAAGCACAGGATGGGTACCGAGAGACACGTCAGCCACCGACGGCCACAGCCCTGCGAGAACATGCTCCCAGGTATCTGCTTTGTTTGCCAGTGTGACCCTGTCTCCCACTCCTCTCCAAGGCCCAGATCAGCAGATTAGTGTGGGCATTTGAGCGAGGGCAGCGAACTCTCTAATGAAGTATCCATCTCACAGTCGTGCTCCAGAAATGCTACTGTTATTATTATTTTTTCTTTTCTTTTCTTTTACTGGGGATTATGGTGCCATTTGGTCAGTTACCTGCTAGGGATTCTGTGATTCAATCATTCATTCATTCACTCCACACATATCTGTGGAGGGTGCATAATGGGGGCAGACATTGTGCTAAGTGCTGGGAATAAAGTGTTCTGCAAACAGCTCTGGATTTACCCTCCTGGGCTGGACAGTCTAGTGTGAGACACACCATGGTAAGAGCTATGAACACGAATGATAACAAAATATGAAACACATACAGCACAGGGGCCTGGCTGAGCTTGGAAGGGAAGGTTAGGGATGGTTTCCCTGAAAAGAAATGAACAGAAATAACTAAGTGGAAAGAGAGGGAACAGTGTTCTAGGCAGAGGGAACAGTGTGTGCAAAGACTCTGAGCTGGGAGAAAGACACATCTCAGAGACAAAAAGACAGCATGGAGTGGAGATCAGATAACCAGGCTGGGACAGAATGGCAGCCTGTGGCACAAGCACAGAGGGACTTCTGTTCTCTCGCTCCAGTATGCAGTCAGGCAGCAAATACTCACTGAGCCCTGGTGTGTGTTAGGCATTGGTTTAGACACCAGGGTGAACAAAATGAGTGAGACAGACATGCTCCCAGTGCTAGGGATTTTTGGCTTTTGTCCTAAGAACCACGAGAAGTGTTTGAAGGGTTTGAAACAAAGAGGCATCTCGGTGAATTTGTGCTTTAAAGACGATTCTGTTTATACATGGGACGAGCACTCTAGGGAGGGAGACAGGAATCAGGAGGATCCTGGAGCCATCCACACGAGGAACCTGATGGCGTGAGCTCCCGGGGGAACGGAGGAACTGGACAAGAACGGGGGGGAAGTGAGAGAAACAGGGGCGTCTGGGACGCAGTCACTGGCTCTGGAGGCCTGGGGACGGACCAGGTTTGGTGGAGATCCTGGGTTTGATTTTGGACATTTTTAAATTATTGATTTCTATCTATTACCTAGAAAGGTTATGAATGGTTTTGACCTCTGGGGTGGAATCCAAGGAATGGCATTTTGAACAGGACCTCCAGGGACGCTGGCCCACTGCGCTATCTCGAGGCAAACCCACAGGACCAGCTCTGCTAAGGACCAGATAGCCCCATGAGCGTAGGAAACAGATGTGGGCAGCGGTCAAGAGTGGAGGCCCTGAACACAGATCATCTCGATTTGAATTCTGGCCCTCGTAACTGGGTGGCTTCAGGGTGCTTTCCCACCTGTGAAATAGGAAGCTAACAACACGTACCTCCAAGGTGATGGTGAAGTGGTCCACGTAAGCGCTTAGCAGAATGCCCGATGCAGAGCACATGCTAAACACATCACAGTGATTGCCCTGGGAAATCCAAATTACCATGCCTTCTAACCCAAGCAAAAACCTGGTACTGATACAAAGAGTGACTACACATACCTTGAGGGGCAGTCCTGGATGTTACAGGGCTGAAACCCAGCCAGCGGCTTCGGGAGGTTTTGGCAAAGGGCCTCCCTCACTTCCTGCCCGTTGGCCATCACACACCGGGGTCTCCGGACGCGGGCTCCCAAGTGGCCGCAGGTGGCAGAACAATGCGTCCAGTTACCGAGCTCCCAAAAAGGCTCTGCAGAAAGGAAATGAAATGTCATGACAGCCCTGAATGAGATATGATGATGGGGCTGGGAGGGACATGGCCACAGACCACCAGGAGCTGTTTTCTGGTTGGCTGCCCATCTGCTTCTTTGAGAAGCACTTGGAGAGTACGCTGTCACCTAGTGGAAGGCCTCCTTTACATTTCACGTTTCCTCCACTGACTTATTGTCCTCACTGGTAGGAATGGTGGCCAGCTTGGGGCCCTTGGACCACAGCCTGGGAGAGGTGCTATTGGAGGCCAGCTGGACTTGCCAGAAAAATCCCAGAAAGAGAGAGGAGGTGCTCCGTGCAGCGGGCTGGCTCCTCGGCATTCTCCAAGCAGAGCCAAGAGGACGAGAGAGGAGGATGTCTCCGGGGGATGCTCTCACCGGTTCTATTTCTCAAATGTGGGCCAGGCGGAGAAATAAAAGACCATTTAGCAGGGACCGGGGATTAAGTAGTCAGGTTAAAAATGAATTTCATTCCATTCTTACTTTTCCATTAATTCTTATCTAAACTTCAGCTTACTCCTGGAACTGCATAAATAATTTGTCACGGAGACATCTGGAAGGGTAAAAATGAGAGTTTCCTTTAGCAAAGTTGAAGCTGACCACCTCCAGTAATTATGGCTTTTTAATTTTAGTCTTCATTCCAAACAGCCCTTCCCTTCCTTTTTGACACTTGGTAAAAAGATGAGGTACAATACAATGATGACAGATTTGTGTGTGACCACAGAAGGTGCCAGATTTTCCCGTCACAATCACAAGTAATTGATAGCTACCAGCTGTGTCCACAGACTCCCTCACAGAGCAGAGCAATGTCTTTAACTTATTGTTTTCCAGATTTTCCTTCTGATTTTTGAATTTTTGTCTTAAGTTGCATATGGCATCCTCTGCAAAGTAGAATTGTACATATTTTTAGTTGGGCCCCCAGGATTACAGTTTGTTTGAAACAATTTTTTAAAATAGCTGGGTTTATGGAGAACTTCCCAGGTGAGGGGTACTGAATTTTAGATACTTGGCCATCAGCTTTTCCCCTAATCCTTATGGCCATCCTGTGAATTAGACCAGTGTTATTTGCAGGAGTGGGAAAAAGCTAAGTGACTTGCTCAAGGTCCTTCATCTAGAACCCAAGACTGTCAAACTCCACATCTAACTCCTTCTACTATGCCATACTTCACAAAGACACCTTGACACTCCAAGGCAGAAAACACATACATTTCTTTAAAAACATGTGTGGTTTTTGTTTTAACTGAGGTGCCATTCACATACAATAAAATGTTCAGAAATCCGGTGTGCAGTTTTATGAGTTTTCACACTTGTATGTACTTTTGTAACCATGATCCACAGCAAGATATAAAACACTTCATCTCCCAAAAAGTTTCCTCCTAATCTAATTAAAGATCAACTTTAATCTTAAATTATTTTAATCAATTATTTTAATCAATTCCCCTCCCCCACCCAGGCAATTCCTTGTTCATTTCCATCAGTACCCATGATTGGTGTCACCTGCTCTTGGCTTTCATTCACGTACTCCTTTGCACTTGCTTCACATAACATTTTTGAGATTCGCCGGTATTGCTGTGCATAGCCCATTCTCTTTTATTGCTGAATAATATTCCATCATGTGAATATACCATAGTTCATCTATTCTCCTTTTGGTGGCCATTAGGAAGTGAAGGCTGCTGTGAACATTCTTGTACAAATATTTTTGTGAACAAGTTTTCACTTTTCTTGGGTAAATACCTGTGAGTGGAATTGCTGGGTCAAAGGTAGGTGCATGCTTAGCCTTCTCAGAAACTACCACACAGTTTTCCAGAGTGGTTGTACCAGATTACACTCTTACCACCAATGCATATGGGTTCCAGTAGCTTCACATCCTTAACCAAATCTGGCGCTGTCAGTCTTAGTTTTCACCATTCCAGTAAGTGTGGAATCATATCTCTTTGTGGGTTTAATTGTCATTTCCCTGATGCCATCTGTATATCTTCTTTTGTGAACCATCTGTGCAAGTGTTTTGCCTGTTTTGTGGGGGCGGGGGAGGGGAGGCTTCGTTGTTGACTTGTAAGAGTTCTTTATATATTCTAGATATAAGTTCCTCAACAGACATACGTTCAGCCAATCTTCTTCCCAGCCTATGGGTAACCATCCATTTGCTCTCTGTATTTAAGAGTATGTTTTCTTTTATCTTTTTTCTTTTTTTGTTAATTTGTTCCTTGAATTACATATGTGTGTGAGATCATATGGTATTTGTCTTTCTCTGTCTGACTTATTTCACTTAGCATTATACCCTCTAGGTCCATCCACGCTGTTGCAAATGGCGAGATTTCATTCTTTTTTATGGCTGAGTAATATTCCATTGTGTGTGTGTGTGTGTGTGTGCGTGTGTGTGTGTGTGTGTGTGTGTGTGTGTATCACATCTTCTTTATCCATTCATCTATTGATGGACACTTGGGTTGCTTCCATATCCTGGCTATTGTAAATAATGCTGGTATAAACATAGAGGTGCATATTTCTTTTCAAACCGTACTTTCATTTTCTTTGGATGAATACCCAATAATGGAATTACTGGACCATACGGTAGTTCTATATTTAAACTTTCTGAGGAAGCTCCATAGTGTTTTCCATGGTGGCTGTACCAATTTACCAATATTCCCACCAATAGTACACAAAAGTTTCTTTTTCTCCACATCCTCGCCAATACTTGCTATTTCTTGTCTTTTTTGAGTCTAGCCATTCTGACAGGTGTGCAGTGATACCTCATTGTGGTTTCCATTTCCCTAATGATGAGTGATGTTGAGAATCTTTTCATGTGTCTGTTGGCCATCTGTATGTCTTCCTTGGAAAAATGTCTGCTCAGGTCCTCTGCCCATTTTAATCAGGTTATTTGTTATTTTGGTGCTGAGTTGTGTAAGTTCTTTATATATTTTGCATATTAACCCTTTATCAGATATGTCATCTGCGAATATCTTCTCCCATTCAGTAGGTTGTCTTTTTGTTTTGTTGATTGTTTCCTTCACTGTGCAGATGCTTTTCATTTTGATGTAGTCCTAATAGTTTATTTTTGCTTTTGTTTCCCTTGCCCGAGGATACATATCTTGAAAAATGTTTCTACAGGCAGTGTCAGAGAGACAACTGCCTGTGCTCTCTTCTAGGATTTTTATGGTTTCAGGTTTCACAATTAGGTCTTTAATACATTTTGAGTTCATTTTTGTGTATAGGATAAGAACGTGGGCGAGTTTCATTCTTTGCATTGTATGATCCTGGCACAAAAAC